ACAAATTGAGCATTCGAAGGGCTTAACAGCTTCGTGAATTCGCATATGAACAGTTAAGTTGTAACTAAACTTAAAAGCCTTTCCGCAATTTTTGCATTGGTACTTGGCCTCATTGCTGTGGATGAGCATGTGTTTCTTCAGGCCGTAATTTGCACGGAATGTTTTCGGACAAATCTCGCACTGGAAAGGACGGTCATCCAAATGTACTGCCATGTGCCGAGAAATGTGTTTTGTAGCAAATCCGCACACATCACACACTCCCAAGGGGATACGTTTGTGAAATCGGTATTTATGGGACGCTTTCTCCTTTTCCGTTTGGAAGACTAAATTGCACTTCTTGCATTGGATTGTAATCGTTTTCGACAGCGACTTCTGATGTCTTTCCTCATGACTAACGAGCTGCAAATACCCATATTTACCATATTTCTTGTTGCAAAAAGAACAAATATATGGAGGTGGAGGCCAGCCTCGTTTCTGATGAACTGATATAGGCTTTGCTTTGGCATTCTGCGTGGCTTTTCTTCGACGAATCGTATGAAAACAATTATGCAATTCTAAAGCATCATTCTCGACAACGGATTTGCAGAATCTACAGAACACTTTATTGCATTCGATCACGTGCTCGTGAAATAGAACTTCTTCACCAACGTTAACAAACGTATTGCAGATTCTGCAGTAGTTTTGCAATTCGACGTTTAAACACTTTAAATGGGAGCTTAGTCGGCCGCACGCCTTGAAACCTTTCCCGCAAACATTGCATTTAAATGGAGAAACACTGAAAAATAGACAGCAAAAGTTAAGTAACGTGCTCTGAATAGAAACTTACAAGCCTTTAACAAAATTATTATAACTGTTGAATAATAATGCCGACTTTGTATTTTATGAAAACTGAACAATTAACAAAATAATTTCATTTGTATAAGACTTCAACAGGAAATTTAGTCCCACGTTTAAGAACATACACAACGAATGATTCTTAGTTATTGGCAGAAGATGCCAATTTGCAACAACGAATTATCTATTTCAGCGTCTTTGAGTCTGCTTAAAAACTTGAAACCCCTTGAAAAAATAGAACAATGCAGAATTTATCTAAAAATGAAATAGAACTCAATTATAATCATAACCAAAAGAAAACGTGAGCAAAATTTAGATTGAGAAAGGCACTAGGTTTTTCGGAGAAAGAAATAACCACAGTACAAGAAACAGGTACATAAAAACGGACATTATTAAAACGTTAGCTATAAAATAACCACTAGAGAATGAAAGCGCAAGAGAATTTTAATCATAAGATTTGAGCGGTTTCAGCAAGGTGGTGAAGACAGATTAAGAAATAACTTTCCTTGCTCCAGCCAGTCGAATAAAGTGGCTTAGTACAGTAAAACATCCCTAGTCAAACTTCGCGAAGTAATTGTTTGATTTTAAGAATAAAAATTGTTTTGTTTAAATCTAAGAATTATTTCTGTTCAATAAACAGGAACTGAAATTGTCAACAAAGTTATGTAATAGACTTCTTTAGTTTTATCGGACAGCTTCAATCTATGCAAAAAAATTGACTATGAACTATGTTCCTGTAATTTTAATTACTGAATAATTAAGACTTAATTTTGTACTGTTGTCTCAGGCACATGAAAGAGTGGTTTTCATTTTAAACTCGGAAATGAAGCGAGGTATGAAAACACGACAAAAATTGTGACGCTACTTAATTCGACAAAGTTGGAAAGTCAGTCAAGGCACTGGCAAAAATTTTAAACAGGTTTCGAGGCGCTACTGATATTAATATCAGTTTATGTATAACCACCAAACCAGCCTTACCGCTGAAAATATTGCGAAATTTCTGGAAAAAGTTCTTAACTAAAACCATCCTGTTTATTTCAATGTAGACCAGACATATTTAAATAGAAAATTTAGGGAATTACAATTATATTAACTAGAATATTAAAGCTCCTGCTTAGAACAAGTTTAAATAAGAGGTCAAGTAATACTTCATTTAGAGATTTGTTTTCTATAGCTTTAGCTCATTGTTCGCTCTCAAAATGCTCCTCTGCATGGTTTCAAGCAGATCTGCACCAGCAGCAAAATCTAATAAAAATCATATCTAGAAATTCAGGGATTAAAAGATGCAATTTGAAGCGGATTTATCGGAATAACTGAAAAGTATCGTACTGAAATGTGATGCGGATTTATCGGAATAAATGGAAAGTATTGTACTGTTTTGTCATGTCGCCACTTCTTGCAAAAAACCGCTGTAAAAATAATCACAAATTTCGAAGCTTTGTCTTACAGAGGAGTTTTCTCGATTTCTGAAGATTTTCACGGTATTAATAATGTATTCTAAAAGAACATTGTAGTGCAACATGTCAGTTTTGAATTGAATTTTAAAATTGAAGAAATCAAACACTCATTTAAAAATGATAAATTTCAACTAGTTTAATAACAGTTCAAAAGCAAGAACGAACCTAATTTTGCTATAGCAAATGTACTTTCAAAATATTTTTTTTAAACCGGATAAAATATTCAAAAATAAAAATACTGTTTTCCTTTAATACTTACCAAATAACAAAGTCTGCTAGATGCCTAAATTCGAAGTATGAATACTCGTAATAAAGAAATCCAAATTTAAACTGGTTGAATCTTAATGAAAAACAAGAAAAATACGTCGTTGATGATGTGTTATTAGGAGACCTAGGGATAAGTAAAACACATCAAAACTTTCCAGGAAAATCATTTTTATTGAGATTCGTGAGCCGTCCATTATACTGAAAAGTACATTTGGAGTATAAGAGTCATCAAAACGGGATCCAATCGCAGCTTCTTTCTTGAGGGCCTTATAATATAACTTAAATCTAAAATACATGTATTAACGTGCACTACAAACATCAAGATTCTTGCTGAACAAGAACAAATAGTTCGCATTTGAAAATAATACAATTTTAAAATTGAAGACTATAACGTAGAATAAAATTAACGTTAATTAAAAACAATTTTACCAATTAAAGTTATTGCTGTACAAAACAACTAATTGACAATAAAGAATGGTGCACCATATTGATTTTTAAACTTTGGAACAGTTGATATTCGCAACACAATTATCTAGATAAAGATCTACACATTAACAGCATGCGCAAACACCATGCCATTCTCCATATCTCATCTCATACGCATTCTTTACACCATACTCATACTCATACATCATACCCATACTAGCATTCATACATCGCGGTTCCATGGAATAACACAAACGCGTGTTATTATATAACGACTTACCCGTGTCAAAAATCAGAAAGTGAACTCTCAAAACTTTAATAGTATGCAAGAAATACTGACCATTGCAATTAAGGCATGAAAATGAATTTTTCAACCAACGTAGTAACACAAAGAGTCATGGACAGAAAAACACATCAAAATACCAATACAGCATTTTGAAAAAACCTGTCCAAAATCAAGAAACTATGTAAGAGTGACCATTAAACCAATTAAAGAAAACTGGTTTAAAAACTGGTAACAGTGTAACAGCTCTTGAATAAGACCTCAATCATTATTTCGGGCCGCAAACTTGCAAAGGAAGCTTTCGGTCGCAAATAATTCTTGTGAGGTTACTGCCTAATGGTTGAAAACTTCATTGGCTGCGGACGCAATGACAGTATTTCTATCGTCGAAAAATAATGCTGAGCCAAGGCTCGCATTTTGATTGAAATGAACACTTCTCAAAACCAAACGGTTTGAGTGAAAATGTAAAATATACAACTCATTGTTTAAAATTTTAAACAATGAAAAACAATGAAATGCTCTTCCATTAAACAATGGGAAGAAAATCGACAAGATATGTACTATTTCTAGTAGCAACAAAAACTAATAATGTAAAGCATAATTTTTTTCCGATATAAAAAAAAGTCCTCACATGTGGAGATTGACAAAATTATTATTGAAAGTACTGCATTATAAATTAAAACCATAGATAAACATGCGCCACAACTAGTTTTGGCACAGGCGTATGCAACAGCAAATTTAATGCCGTACTTTGAAAAATTAATTTTTGCTGCTAAATGTTCGCCAGGATGTACATATTGTAGCATTTGGGAATATTTCAGATTGCTCGACACAAAGAACACTAACAACTCAAAACAAGAGTTGTTCTGAACGTTCCAGTTACTGAAAACTTTTAATACAACAGACATCAGAAAAGAAAAACTGTTCGAGATGTCACAAAAAAGTAGTGGTGACATAAGAAAGCCAATCTTTTCAAAGAACATCTGTTGTGAAACGATTGAATCATTGATCAGAATACATCATTAATTATGTTATTTGTACTCGGCAATCTAAAAGAATTGTTGATTGAACAGAAAAATGGTTGATCAGAGAAAACAAAAAAATAACGTCTGGTTTGCCTCAATGAAATATTTAAACAGCAGCACTTACCTTAACAAGTCGAATTTGCCTACCCAAACCGATTGCGAGACCAAAACGATGTTTATATTATGACTAATATACTGTGATTATTATTACTCATTGCAGAATATTAGCGTAAACATTGGATAGACCTGCGGTCCTTGTTTCCAAGTAATTTAAGAACTTTTCTAATAATTTTTTAAAAACTGCGACAAAATACCGCATTTGAACTGTACTTTTCAAATAGCGAATTTTGATTAGCGCATAATCGAAATTCCAAACGTAAATATATTTAAAATAATATGAAATTGAGGAATATTATTTGGCGTATCGCTGTATTACTGATAAAAGAAATTAGCCCATGTTCAAGAAGTGTAATAAACCGAAATAAATTTTAAAAATTGAACTTTTGAAGAGATTTCCTATCTACAAATTTCCTTCGATCTTCAAAACCACCATACGAAACAAGAACCAAGAGACCAAAAACATAATTATTAAATTAATGCAAATAAAAACAACCAAACGAACCAATAAATAAGGAGGCAATCCAGATAATAGGCGTTGTACATCCTGCCGTAATTAGGGATGGGGATAAATAAAAGACAAGTACTCACGGTGCTTCAACTCCATCTTTGCCAACACCTGAAGGTCCTGCTTGGTCGTCATCGGCACTCGTTCCTGGCAATTCTGAGTAAGACGGGTCATCCTTCAACTCGCTCTCACTTTCTTCGCTCTCGTCCTCCATCTGAAAAAGAATTAATTATGAAAACAAATAAACTTGTATAAAATTTGAAATAATTATGAACGGCAATAATATCCGCTCAACGCACCTTTGTCATGGCTTCTCCCGCATCAAAGTCGTCATCTTCATCCTCGTCGGATTCTGGAGTAATATTAATCTGCGCCTTAACAGCAGCAGTGCGGCGCGCCCGTTTCGGAGGCGGCGCCTCAGCCTCATCTTTGGTACCCTGTAAAAAAATTATTTGTTAAAAAAATTTGCCGGAAGATATAATTTTTGGGACAATGCGAGGATAAACTGCAAACATTTACCTCATCAAGAGATTGATCATCGAAACTATCTCGACTTTCGTTGATCAAGTTACTCTCATCGAGGGCTTCAGACTCTTCTTTAACCAGTGTTTCAGCTGGTTTCGCAATTTGTTGTGCAACGGCGCTGATTTTCTCTCCGGCATCTTCCACTCCTGCTTGCCCCAACCAAGACAATAATGTCTTTTCAGCACTCGCGGAAGAATTCCAGAATTCGTATAACAAATCTAACTTATTCGAGCAGGCATCACATATCCGTTTTGGTAACTGATCATGCCTAGTTATCTGAAACAATAAAACCTTTCATTGAAATATCATTTTTCACAATGTAATTAACAATGTTAGCACTTAAAAATTTCAATCAGTTGGTCGTTCTGTGGCATCAAAGCTTATGTCAGAACAGATCTGTAAACAATCATCATGATATAATGAAAAATTCCAGTAAGCTTGGAAAATTTCGTTTTGAAATGAAAGTATAACTTAGAGATTTGGTTCGCCTTGATGCAGGTCTAGTTGGGTTGTAAGAATTAGAGATTTTAATGTAAGAATTAGAGACAATGTTTACAGTGGAAACATGCAAAAGTTAGCGGCCGCAGAAAATAATTAAAATAATCTCCTATGTCGAGTTCAAGATTGGTCGAATTTGTCTAAACCATTTGCTTGAGGGATTTAATTTACAGAGTTTATCACCAAATTATTTAAGCTAAGCTATTTCTTATCGCCCAATTTTTAAATTTAAAACTTCCCGGTTGATTTGAAAGATGCAAAATCTATCACATAAAGCAGCCTTTACATGAAAGAAACTATTAAAAAAAGTGAACTACCAAATAACGCACCATTGCTGGTGACGTAAGAGGGACGCCAGCAAGCGGCAACACTATTGGTCAATACTGTATATCCTACGCCATGCTTTTGCGCACTCGGTATAGTTGAAGAGCCACAAAGGATTTCCAATAACGGACTGGTGTAAAAAATACATGTAAAATTACCAAAAAACTAAGCGTAAAATCTACTCCAGTATAGCGCAGAAAAGAGCCATTGCACTCATGTTTAATGGCAAAGAGATGGAATGGTCGCCTTGACGATAGTCGAAATTTATCGGTTAGTTATGAAAAATATTCCAAAATACTGCTGGATGTTCGCTGTTGCTATCCGTTAACAATGCAGAAGACTAATAAAAAAATCATAATCAGAACACGTTGTAATGCGAACGGCAGGCCGCCATTATGGACGACGCCCAAAAGTTACAAATATGAAACATTAAAAACCGCTTCAGATAATCAAATTCAGAAACCCTGTAAACTATAAATACATTTGAGAAAGTAATGTTTAGTAAATATACAGGATGGTCGCCGAAACTCTTGCAAGTCTGTCGAAATGCGGCCTGAAAGAGAAGATGGCGGAAAGACGCTACTTACCGTAACTGGTAGACAGGAACTTATTTTCAGAAAAATCTGCCTAATATCACCTTGTTCTTCGAAAATTGGAATATTAACTTGGTCCTTAACTAAACACAGTCGACATAAGCTAAGAATTTCACCAGGACTATCCATTTTTAACTATTTTATGTTTAAGTTTCATCGGAGAATATTCATAACGTGCTTAACGTTCTAACGTCTTCGCTGGAATGGACGAAAGCAGACGGAAGTTTCGTGAATAGACGCCCAGTTCCCGGTTGTTGCTGCCCCACTACACTTCCGCTTCAGTATGCGCGGTCAATTTGAAATTTCAGGACCCAATCATACGAATATGGTACTATAATTTATATCTCAATATATATTTTGAGTTTATTTATTTATTACAAGGTTTACTTCAAGGTTAAATACCAATTCATGTTAGGTGGTCCAAATTAAAATGCAAAAAGGAACGAAAAACATTCAAACAATTTGTTATCAAGTTTTGCTTGATATGACCTTCGATCAACTTTCTAGTAGACCATATAGGAAACTGTATTCATTAATATTAAAGTGGATTTTAGCTAGTGAGTGCCCTAATACAGATATTTTAACTAATTCTTTCCAGAAAAATATAATCAAGGAAAAAGCGGGTTTTGACTCCCTGCGTAGTGTTTGATGTCCACCAGTCCACCCCCAAACATAGGCAACCAGTTTAGGAAGGATAGCATGATGCATGGTTGCTTGGTTGTACTACATTTGTACTGCATATTTGCTGTATTTTGTATGCAAATCAAGGAAAATGTTGTTTCCCTGAACTAAAAATAACAGATCACAAGAAACTGATATTTATGTTCTAAATAAGGCTCCTATTTATCCCTATTGTAAAAACAGAAGCCCGTTCAGAGCACCGGTAAATTGCGTCTGAACAATAGTGGAAATAACAACCAAAAACCTAAACAAGAAGCGATCGAACACCGGATTTTTGCGAGAAAAATTATTAAGAAATGTCTTTGGATAATAGGGTGGGGATATTGCATGTGGACTTCAAACGCAAAGGCCTAATGCACTGTAAAATTACCAAACAAATTTTCTATAACTATAAATAACAAAAAACTTCTAAACCTTGGTCACTTTGACTCGCATTCAACTCTGAAACACCCTGCAATCAAAAGATATTCAGTTGTACCTAATCTGGTACAGGGTTTTCGCCGAGTAGACCTTCAAGAAACATGTTAGTAAATATCGGTAACTTAACATATAACCTAAATGTTCTTAAAAAAATTACAAATTTTAGTATTTCGAGATTAGCACCATTGCCGTTGTTTAAAGTTGCAAAAATGAGCATTTTTGTACAAAAAATCAACCCCTTAACCGGTCACAATGACTGGGTAATCCAAAACGAAGATTACGATTACCATCAGGAGGTGGCCCGATCAGCATTTGCAGACATGCTGCACGATTCTGAACGAAATCAGCTCTATGAGAAAGCCCTCAAAGTGGCAATTGATAAGATGCACTCGATAGGGAAACAGGCCTACGTCTTGGACATAGGGACTGGGACAGGGCTATTGTCAATGATGGCAGCTAGAAATGGGGCTGATAAAATTACTGCATGCGAAGCCTTTAAGCCCATGAGTCAATGTGCTATGAATATTTTAAAATTGAATGGGTTTTCGGATAAAATTAAGGTGATACCAAAGAGGAGTACAGAGTTAACTGTAGGTAAAGATGGGGACTTAGCTGAGAAATGTAATATACTGGTAACTGAGGTGTTTGATACTGAGCTTATTGGGGAAGGGGCCCTTTCAACTTTTGATCATGCCCACAAGTTCTTGCTGGACAAAGACAGTATTGTTATTCCAGATAATGCCACCGTTTTCGCACAGGTATCAATTAGTCAGCTGATTTTATCAATTTTTTCATAACAACTCCTATAATCAGGTTGTAGAATGCCCGTTGGGTCAAAACTGGAACAAACTCAAGGATATATACAATGAAGACTTGGAAGTTTTAATTCGCATTCCCGAATCCATTAAAAATTGTCCTGGTTCTGCAGCCGTGCATGATATCCAGCTGAGTCAACTACCACTAGAATCATTCAATACATTCGTGCCTCCTACCCCTGTTTTAAGATTTGATTGGTGAGAGTAGAGGTGTTGATACCGTTTCGATCAATGACAAGTTTCGTGCTTTTTAATAGGTCAGGAAAAACTCCCTTTGTCTTCCAAAGATCTACAATACACACTTTGAAGTCACTGAAGCATGGAAAGGCCCAAATGGTATTCATGTGGTGGGAACTTCAAATGGACATCAATGCAGAACATATTCTGAGCTGCGCCCCTTACTGGGCACACCCAAAGTCGAAAGATCGGATCACAACCGACATTCCTTGGCGGGATCACTGGATGCAGGCTATCTATTACTTGCCTCAAGAACTCAATCTTGAAGAAGGGCAAGAGGTAAGATATTTTGCCAAATTTTGAAGGAGTTTTGCTCCTCCAATTGATATTGTAATTTCAAAAAGTTTGAAGACTTCTATTTTGGCCGTTACGAAGGGCGACGACGATTATTTGGGCTAACGTTCATTATACATACACATACAGTCAACTGCGTTCCCGCTCAAGCCAATCTTATCTGTTCAAAGAAAAACATCAGCCGTGTAGATTGATAAATTTTCCTTAATAGATAGTTCCAATGTTCTCGAGCTTATCGTGGTAACCTGATATAAATAAACAGTTCTTTCTGGAAATTCACCGGTTCGCTCAGGTTCAAAATATCCAAAGCTAGAAATATCAGCTTCAGCCAGGGTGGCCATTCGTAGATGAACGGTAATTTGGTAGGCAATTGTAGGGTTTAGGTCCCTAACACTTTACCGTACGCCAATTGTACGGTATTTTTGTATTTTTGTACGGTATTGTTCCGTAAATATCATGGGACCCTGTTTTTTACCACTGCAAAGCCTTTTTTGTCATTAACACCCATGTCCCACCCACTATGGGGGGCCAACTTTTTTTTGTTACTGCCATTCATGTGTCTTCACAATCACCAAAATATGGAGACTTTACGGTAAAGGAGCTTTAAATACAGTATTTTCAAATGGTTTGTACGGTAGTGCGCGTTTGAGAAGTTGGCCACGAACTGTTAGAAATGTGTTATTGGCTTTTTATAAGTAACTGTATAAAAATAAGAAGCGTCAAGAATATAATAATTTTTCTACTTAATTTGTGAAAGGAATGATTTTAAATTATTCATATTTTTTTATAAGCAAATCTTCCACGCAAACCTACTTTCTACTACTACAAATTCCTACATCTACATCTTTCTTTGTTGAAAATACTCAAATGTGAAAGGCTACACCCAATTCTTACTATTTTTTTATTAAACTTGAAGTATATTTTCACTTCAAAAGCTACTTAGAATCAGAGCAATTAATTATTAAATAAGATGACAACAATAAATATTCCTAAAACCTTCTGCTGGTTGGGTAAATTTTGACTTATCAGCCATTATTTTTTAATAATTGAACTTTATACATCGCAGATATCAAACAATTTTTTTTTTATTCTTATAAATGGATTTTTCATGTCAGTTTTATCATTTCAAACAATCAGCTGATTCTGTTCATATACAGTGAGTCCCAGAAAAAGCTCGGACCCGTCAATTTTCATTATTCGGCTTTTTTTATCTAAATTTTGAATTCTCCATTGTATTGTCCTAAGTATGCTTAAGGTATCCTATACCTAAACTCAAAAGGACTCGAGAAATTTATGAGGTAAAAAAATTATTTTTCCAAATTAGCAAGATGCAAAACGAGTTGATTCCTCCATCCGCTGGATTTTAAATGAATTTAGACATAACATGATCTCGGTGGTTTATTGCTTAGATTCATCTAATAAGCTGCCATGACGAATATTCCTTATGGTTCAATCTTACCACAACACTGAAGTTAACCGAAGTGGATTATCTGAATCCCATTTGCCAGTGTGGTTTACATGTGGCTTTCTCCAGGACAAGGTATGTACAAACTAGTCATACCTCTAATCCACTGTTTATTGCAAAACTATTTGCAGAATAGGCCAACTGAATGATGCAAAAAGAAACAAAAAATATTTCAAACTATTTGAAGAACACATCAAACCCGACTCAAACATTCTCTTTTTGAGCGATGGTTTTCATTATGGTTTGGTTGCCTCGAAATTGGGTGCCAAACAGTTGTACTTTTTGGACACCAATCTGCTTTCTCGCAGAGTTTTGCAGGAGTTTATCACTTACAATGAAATTAGCAACGCACAGATACTGGAGCAAGCCGACGACTTGAAGAATATTGATCTGGATAATGTAAATATCGTGTTTGGAGAACCGTACTTTACTAGCAGCATTTTACCTTGGGACAATTTGCTCTTTCTGTACTTGAGCGATAATATTCGAACTCTACTAAGTAAGAATGTGAAAGTATTTCCCAAAAGTTGTGTTATTAAAGCAGTAGCTGTTCATTTCGATCACTTGCACAAAATCAGGGCGCCTCTTGGCAATTGCGAAGGATTCTTGATGAAAGACTTTGATAATCTAATTTTGGTAAGTACCGCCTTGAACCAATTAGAACGACTTTTATTTATCGTATTTCAATAACTCGCATGTAATAACTGAATATAATAAATTACCTTTACGTGTATTGCTATCAGGAATCGAGTAACATTAGTGACGATAATGTGGAAGCCCAACCTCTTTGGGAATACCCAGCAACAGCGTTAAGCCAAGAGGTCCAAATCGCCGAAATTAATTTGCTCTCAAAACACAAGAATCCGTTTGAGTGCAGAGGAAGCATTGATATAAAAGAGTATGTATATATGGAATGTTATGTGAAAAAGCAAGCAAAGTATAGTTTTAGGAATCTACCATGTAATGGAGTCGCGCTATGGGCCAATTGGAATTTAGACGACTCCCCAAAGAGAACAGTCTCAACTGGTCCGGTTGGGGAAATTATTTTGGGCAAAAAGATTCAATGGGACATGTACACGAGACAAGGAGTTTGCCTGTTCTCAAACAAGTTATCTTCACGGCTTGAGTACAATTTTACCTTTGATGTTAATGAAGGCAGCATTAATTTTCAAATGTTAACATGAAGTGAAATATAGAGTGGTAATATTTCTTGGGTATGTTTTAACCGGGGAGCCCACTAGTGATTTCGCTAGTATTTGAACTACCAAAATAAATAAAACAAAAATGCCACCAACCAAAAACTAAAAGCTAAAAGACTCTTCAAAGCTCATCCAGATTTTCCTTTCACCAATAAATAGGCTAATTGTTTACGGAAGTGGTTAATAAATAAAACAGACAATTAAAAAAATCTTGTTTACTTCTTATTTATATGTTCAATAAATTACGAAGCTACGTAATGAAGGTTGTGCAGGACATTCAAAATTCCGCCAGTGGCTGGTTTGTAAATCCATGAAAAAAACAAGTCACAGCAATAACACAATTCATGATATCAAAAAAAAATGATCGTGTTACAGTTAGACAAAAAATCCTGGGTCCGAGAATCAAAATACCAAACTGTCCATATACTTAATCTAAATCATAATTGGTGTGCAATACGACGAATGCTGCTATGTACATACTTACAATGATAAAATTAGTTTTTTACTATAAAACGACTTACTAGAACGTCTGAAAACTAAACGGGCATAGTGTACATTTTCGTACTGTGAAAACTGAGCCAATTGAGCAATTACACATTAGAGATTGGTTTGGTGATTCTTTGATCAAGCGAAAAAATCTTTCTTACAAATGATAGAGATTCATTGAAACCTGTAGCAGTTAGTGGCAGGTGCAGTAACTATTTCAAAGTTGCTTCTTAATGGAACAGTATGAAACGAATGTTGAGTAGCAGACACCTTTTTAACAGTCAGCAACGAAAATGTAAACACATTTGCATCTGAGTCATTCAGTTGCTTCTCCCGGTTTACCTCTAGGGCTTGTATAAAAACGACCTCGGGCTGCTCACTGAATTGATCTCATAACCACACGTACCCTTATCACGAAAACATTCACTTCTAAAGGTCTTTTCTTACAACGAAATTTCCTCTGGCTCACTAAACGCTCCAATCCTTTTATGAATATCCACTGCTCGAACCGCGAAGAAATATTTATTTTTATCGGCAAACTGTGTTAAGGTACATGCCATGGGCAGAGCCAGAGCCTTCACATCGCCGACTTTCCGCCACATATCCGTGCTGGGCGCCGAGTTCGTTTCTTGGTATGCGTACAGTTGATAGCTCGCTATGTTCTCATACAAGTCCAAATTGTAGGGCATTTTCCATTGCAAAATGATGCCGGTGTCGATTTTCTTAATTGTAAGATGGGGTTTCGGCAGAAGAGGCTTTAATTTCGGATCCAAACTGATCCGGGGAGGTGCTAGTAGCGGGGCTGGATGCTTATGACGGATCGGGCTGGGGATCGTTTTTAGTGTGAGAGTTTGACCCTGTTTACCGGACATGACAGAGACTGTAGAACCGTTTAATGATCCAGCTGCAAGAGTAATTAATTTTTAAAAATTATTAATTCCACTGGTTTAGTAATGTAACTGCAATCAGTCAATTACTAATTGAATAGCATGAAAACTTGTATCAGTATCTTCTAGCAAGACTGATAAAATACTTACGTTGAAAATTAACGAATGCAACTTTCTGTTGGCCGTTACTGTTTGAGGTAATAGTCGGAACCACGTAGAGCATTTGAGGCGAGCCATTCGCGCTTGAGGTAATTACTGATGTGGGAGTCAGTCTTATTCCTATAAACAACATCAACAAGGTCAGGACCATTCCAACGGGTGAATATTGCAAATTTATAATTATTGGTGAGTACAGTGGTTCTTAACCTGGGTTCGATCGAACAACACACACCCGTCTCTAACACGTCGCTCTGCCTTTCTTCACGCTGGGACGTTGTGGAATACCTTTTTTAAGATTTTAATCCCTAAATAGTGATCGGACGAATATCTACATAATTTCCAATTTTTTGTATATACTTTCCTGACTGTGTTTCAATTCCAAATCAAATCTATTCCTGGGTTTCAGTCATTTATTGTCTCTATTTATTAATCAAAATACGTTTCGGTGTATTTTTCCACTATCATCAGTTTTTCTAAAATAACAGATAGTTAAAAAAAACTCCCTTAATTTAAAAAACAACCACAGTTCGTCAACCGCCTCATCATATCACATATTAAAATACATCACAATTGCAATACTTTAAAACATTCTAAAATTAATTAGGCCTAACAGGTGATTAGTCAGGACAATCAAATTTGGGAAGAGACTAGAATTCTTGGGTCAGATACTTAATTATTTTTATTTACATGCGTTGTTGCTGCTTTAAGCCTTGGCATGCATTTGGAGTATTAATTTTGTCCATTATCGGACACAAAACGAATAAAATACTGTTTATATTGATTTGTTTTACTTTCAGCTATTTTTCTTTACATTCTGAGGATATTATTTTTAATTTGCAAAATTCTTCAATATACCGGGTGTTAGTTAATATTTTATGTTTATTTCATTTAATTAATGTATGTTTTTTAATCTGTATCATTTCATGGACTCTTCTCTTATTATAATTACTCTCGTTAATCAGTATTTGTGTGTTATCAAAATCAAAATTATGCAACTTCTGTTGTGCATGCTGTGCTAATGCTGTACCATTTTCGTTATTTTTTCTTAGGCTATACTTATGTTACATTAGGCGTGTCTAACTTGTCAATCCTAGGTTTAAATTTTGTGAAACATTCATTCATTCAAAATATATTTTTTATTTTTGTGTTAATTTCCGGTATATATGGTAATGATATATACTTGATATCACCTTCTATTCTTTCATTTATGTTTTTCCATTTAGTTGAATTGCATATTTTATTTATCCTTTGCTTTATGATTGGTTCGAAAATTGACCTTGGATAGTTGTTTATTAAAAATATATTTTTAATTTTTTCAAGATTTTTTGTTCTATACTCCCAATGTGAACCTGTTAGGCCTAATTAATTTCAGAATGTTTTAAAGTATTGCAATTGTGATGTATTTTAATATGTGATATGATGAGGCTGTTGACAAACTGTGGTTGTTTTTTAAATTAAGGGGAAATTTTTTTTTAACTATCTGTTATTTTTGAAAAACTGATGATGGTGGAAAAATACACCGAAACGTATTTTCATTAATAAATAGAGACAATAAATGACTGAAATCCCGGAATAGATTTGATTGGGAATGATTTCCCAATGATTGGAAACATTTCTTTGCGATAAATCCTTTTCGAGGTTGCTGGACAATAAAGCGAAGAAAAGGAACAGTCTTTGTTGCAAACATGATATGAGAGAGGCACTTTCCGGGGCAAAGCCGCGCATCTGTTTTTTTTTTAGGTAAAAATCATCAAAACAAGGTCAAGAACCACTGGGCGAGTAGTTATTTCAGTTAAATATTTTTTAGTCGCAGACGCACCTTGTGAAAGATTGTTTCCCTTGGATGTATTCAGCGGGACTGTCTTGGATTGTACTTGTTTACCCTGAAACAAATTGAAGCTTTATATAACTAGCAAAGAACATCATTGAAACGTTTAATTGCGCACCAAATACTGGCCAAATACTATTTATATTTATTTGCTTGTTTCTGGATCGGTGCAGCGACTACTTCTGCAGATGCAAACCATGATTACAACACCTCATAGAAATTTTAATCTATCACTGCCTAAAAGCCCGTATCATCGTATAAAGCCCGTGTCCCATGCATCCGTTTGTACGATGATACGATGGTACGAAAGTGTTTCTATTGGTTGGAGATCTGTCAATTCGTCCGCCGTCTTACGAACGGAGGACGAATTGACAGATCTCCAACCAATAGAAACACTTTCGTATCATCGTACCATCGTATAAATGGATGCTCGGGACACCGGCTTAACTCAACTAAACCACGATGTGTATTATCGCGCGGCTAATTTGAAAATTTTACAGGACTTACCCCATTTTTGCCTGGAGACTGCTTATTTGTGGTGATATTTTTGTTCCCCGTTGCAATATTGTTGATAATTTTCATAGCATTAGTGTGACTTTTGTTTTGTGCTAATTTGTCATCCTCTTCTGTTAAATCTGCAAAACAATGACTAAGTAAATAAGCAAAACGACGAGAATGTTTTAAAATTTTCAACATTTTTTAACACAATATCTGATTTCCTACCTATAACTCCGGGATTGCCAGTTTTCTCGGCCTGTTTTTTACTCGATGGCGTTCGCTTAGCGGTTGCAGCGCGTTTTTGTAAGGCTGTAGCGAGCATTGGCGCCATCACGGGGGTAGTTGGTTGGCCTGTGGTGAGAGGAGATTTTTGAAGGGAATTCTGCATCATCTGAAATGATGGAATCGCATAAATAAATGCACCAGATGCATGAGAGGATGGTAGGTTTTACTTGTCGAATAGGTTGAATGCTTGCAGGACTTGTTTTGCTTCTATTGTTGAGCATATGATTTGCCAATAGCGCCTTTGGTGGAGAGATTATCGTCGTTCTTCGTCTGTTTTGATTAGCTACCTCGTTACCGGGATTCAGTCTTACTTGTAACCCTACGGATCTGGTGATTCTCAGGGGCATCACAGCTTTTTTCGCAGCATTCTGATTTTTCAGCTCGCCCATCAACTTTTTATTTACGATTTCGAGATCTTTACATTGCTTGCTCAGCTGCTGAAGATCCTTTCTGATATTTTCGATGGTTTTTTCGTGTTTTTTGATTATTTGATGCAGTTCTCCTTCAGAGCTCTTCAGCATGAGACTCTCGCAAATTTTCTGAATACAAAACTGCTCCAAATCGGATCTAGACAGTTTGCCGCTGAGCTTGTGGCATTGCATAAACTTGACAAACGAAGTTAAAGTATTTACGTTTTCACCGACAACTGGAGGTTCCCCGGTGGCACTAGAAGTGCTAAGCTGCTTATCAGTTTCTGATGATTCCTGGACGTCCACCGACAGCTTGAGTTTCTTGGATGCACCATCATCTTCGAACGAATTACTTCTTTTGTTGAGGACAGCTTTTCGTTTTTCTATAAAAAAAAACACTAGAATGAATCTTCCACTTGGAGCGTGCTTCTTAGCAAGCTAAGTAAAATGGAGCAATAAAAACGCTAGTTGTCTTTGTGGAAAATATTATTAGATATCATTAGTACGATCCTTTCAGGACTAATGTCCAGTATTGATTTCTTTCCTAATCTGATAAAACTCCATTTTTTGTCGCCGGTCAAATTCCCTGTACATTGCGGTTGTCCAAGGAACTTTAAAGAACAGTTTCCAAAACGGAACAGAACAGAAAAAATATGAAAAAACTCAGTAAAGTAAACACTTAAGTGCAGAAATGAAAATTAATTCCAAAGAAGTCTGTAGTATAAGGTGGCGCACCAGAATTCCCGTGAGATTTGTTATCTTTTCAAAAAACGATAATTTTTCAAACTTAAAAAATATAGCAACCTTTAAATATGTATGAACAAAATAGTTATACTATAAAAGGAAACATAAACTATTCCATTTTTGTTATCGTGTAACATATAAGAATGCTTCATTCGGTTACATTTTACATTCCAGATAAAATAAGGATAATTCTTAAGAAAATCACGCCCTCGAGCACGGGCAATATGAGCAAATCACGTTTTTTAGTGTTTTTAGTGAAAATGAGGTTTTTGACCACTTTCCACTCTGAAATTCAACCACTTTTCCATGAGATAACAAAGGACGCCATCATAGTTCGCACTCATTCTGCACGGGCAAAAATCAATACTTAAAAACATGTTGCCAAAATTCCACCACAGTAGCAAAATCTGTTGGTGAATTCCCATTTTGGTGGAGACAGCGATTAGCCAATCAAGCCAAACCAACAAAAAACTTTTAAAAAAATACCAAAACTTGCCCAAACACCTAGAAAACGTGTTTACGAACAAATCAAGTCCACACAAAGTGTAGATTTGGCAAATGCGTAAAATTTGGCGAACCATGTCACAGTGACATCGGCTTGCCAGACAACACATACATCATGGCGTTCTTTGTTATATGAAAGAAGTTAATTTCAATGAGGGAAAAGTGATCTAAACTGCATTTACGCAAAAAACAACACTAAGAAAAGTTGCTGGTACACGGATCGTCTATAAAGTGCGCATTTTGTTAATCGAGAACGAGAGGGCCTGATGTTCTTGATCGTGTTAGCGCTTTACATTTTTTATTTTCTGTTGTGAACTACCAACAACAAGTTTCACTCTGTTAACAGTAGAATCGTCAACGCTTCTAACAAAATTAATGTCCGCCGCACCCGAAAAACCTACGGAAAGTTTATCATAAACGAAATTTATACACCTTGCGTGGGTAATATTGCTTTCAATTTATCCAGAAGTTTACTATAAACGACATCATTAAAACTGGATTTAAAATCAGTCAGTTTTAGTAGCGTTTACTATAGCCGTAATGTCTTGAATTTGCAGCTTTATTGAACTCAAATGTCCGTTATCAACACCAAAAATACCTATTTACATGAACTGAAGCGACTTAAAAAAGTTCCTTATTTCTGGTTTATCATTACGCAAAAGAAGAAATCAACCCTCATTAAACGATTGAAATAAGTCGTCACTTACAGCCACAAATTTCAAGATTTAATTTCCATCATTTCAAATTAAATTCAAAGATATTAATCAAACTCAAGGATTAATTTTATATCATTATTGATAATAAAGCGGTAAAAGAAAATTAGGTTATGATTAATTTGTTAAAACACGCTCTTTAACTAGCGTTGTAAATCCCGACAGAATACTTTAAATCATTAGCGCCTACTAATAGCAGCCAACTTAACTAGTCTCGAATTAAAATGTCAATTATAAGAAACATGAAAACATTCGTAAGAGCGCATGTCGCAAACATGCGTAAGTGCGCATGTCGAACTTCTAAGTTGACTAAGTCTAAGTAATACTCAATGCGAAATTTACCTTGTTCGACCCAAGTTCTATAACGAAGCAGGAAATTCATCATACACTTAAAAATCGAACTAAATTATTATTAAAATACGCAATCTATCAGGTGTCAAAAGGTACTAGACATTAGTGGAAAATAAATTAACCTGAAATGTCAAAATAGAATAATACGACTTTCGCAGCCTACTTTATTACTACCGGATCGGACACCGAAACTTGGGCCGGCACGATGTTCGACAAATCGTTAGTGAATCATTTACTTGTTTCAAGAATTCTGGTAAAAAAATCAGTTTTTGACATAACAAGTCACATAAGTCACACAAACATCAATCATAATTAAAACATTTTGATCACAAATGTCATGCTCAGTTCCCGTCGTTGAGAAGTAAGCTGCATTATGTCCACTTTGTAACCTCTAAGTAACATTCTGGGTGTCCCAGACAGCAATCCAACCCCCAACGATATGGCGGAGATTATTAAATGCGAAATTGTTTCCTTAGATATTGCACATTTTGAAACTAATCATTTAAGCAGGAGCTGACTTGTCTCTTTGAAAGAGAATTGAAAATTGAAATATATTGAAGATTACTACATAAATCCAAAGAACAACTATTTTATAAGCCGCACGGGCAAAAATTCCATTCTCTTGCAAAAGCAAACTGCCTAAAGTTAGAGCATTTGCTGAATGGAAAACAGACTTTGATATGTCAAAGTATTGACTCATGGTCGTCTTTACACAAAATCCCGCAAAACAATTCTCAATTTTTATCCTCACAAAAATTATATTCTATTTTGCTGGTATTTTTTTTTATTTTAGCCCAAATAAGCGACTACCCTTAACTTAAAATCGCCATTCATTTTTGCACAAGAGAATTAGGTATATCTAGCTCTATATTGACAATTCGACTAAAATATAGGAAACTGACTTACCACTTTGAATCTTTCCACTTTCATCTACGGTTTTCTTCTCAGCAACCTTCTCGCAGGTTTCTGTTGCTTTCTCATTGTCTTTGGCATCTTTTTTAATGTCATTAGTCTCATTAGTATCACAGGTTGAACTCACACTTCTACTGCTTAATCCGCGGGTTCTCATAATCAACGGCAACTCATCATCGCTAAGAGTATCCTCATTAGTCAATTTATCATCCACATTTTTATCACTAGCTTTCACTTCAGTCTCCAACTTTGAGTTACTATCACTAACACTGTCCTTTGAACTATCAGATATTTCAGCTATTTTATTTTTCCGCTCGGTTTCCGAACCAGAGCCATCCGGTTCACGCACTCGACTTTCGGCATCATCCCCTTCCTCATCACCATCATCAAATCCCATTGCATTATCATTATCAAAGTTATCTTTATCGGCATCGCTCCCCTCTTGTTCGGTTTCCATTCTCTCGCTTTGCTCTTCATCCGACTTTTCGCTAGCTTGTGTTTCTTTATCCGTATCTTCAATGGCATCGGCAATGGCAAATGCATCATCCTCCTCCGTCTCACGAATCATTGACACGTCTAGGAGATCCGATTCGTCGTCTTCAGTCTTATCATTCGAAACTTCTGAACCACATGCTTGTGCATCCTTAGACAACTCGTCGGGGATTTTGAACAAATCTTTTTCATCAGACTTTGCGCCGGCATCTGTTTCGGATTTGGTTAAAATCTCGTTTGCATCCTGCTGAGGACTACTAAGTAGACCTTTATCATCTGCATTGTCTTCAGAAACTCCTTCGCATTTGGGCGGCTGTTCGGGCAAAGCAGACGAATTGGAAGGCTCAGACATATTAACGTCAGTATCGCCCTCTAAGTCATCGTTTACAGGAGTTTCCAATGCCATTTTGACCTCATTTGCAGGGTTTGCCTGTGCTTCAGCGTCCATGGATACGTCTGTTGCGGTTGGTTGTTCGTTGCTTGTAGTGTTGATATCTTCAGGAACGACCTCCATTGACTCAGCGGGCTTCTCTTGGGTTTCTACATCATTTTCCGGGAGTTTTGCATCAATTTCATATACGCTCTTAAATTCGCCATCTGTGCTCTCTTCGTAATCTTTAAAGCCATAAGTAATCTTAATATCTGTGTTTGGTAGCAAGATTGGAGAAAGGATGAGGGCCTTCTCGATTATTTCTTCGGCGCCTTTATCATCATCGATATCATTAAGAATGACGTCTTCGTCACAAGCATCGAGATGGTCTGCAGTATCTTGTATGGCAGTATCGAATTTATTTAGAATGTCATCTTCAGTTTCTTCGCACTTCTGTTCTTTATCGTTCCCGTTTGACACAACTGATCCATCTGAAAAGGAGACGGAACGTGAATTAGTAATCAGAACTAACAATTGAACAGTCATACGACCTACTTTCAATGAAGTCTTCATCTAACTGTAAATGAAAACTTTCCTCTGAATCGGAATCCTTTCCATTATCTGAAGTCTGCTTGAATTTCTCAAACATTTCCAGAGTAGCCGGCAGTGCAACCACATTTACTGCGGCAGCATCACACTGTTCTATGGAAGGCATTGCGATTGGCCGATCTATAAAAACATGTACCCAATCGGTTATTGCGCTTGATAATAGTTAAGACTACAACAGCATATTGCGAAATATGTCAAAGGATCGTCAAAAATTCACCAATCAACATGACAGTAAATGGTGGTTCCTGTGGCGACTAGATTATTTGCTAGTAAGCGTTCCATGCTTATAAGTTTTTGAGGAAAACTGCATCCATGCGCAACTTCTTGTGATGAAGTCATATTTCGGAGGTCACACATTGTGAGGCAGAGGATAATGAGGAGAAGAGAAAAACGTATCAGATAATTTTCTACTAAAATGTCTGAGGTGCAACAAGGTGCCAGAGGAAAATACATCGCCAGCACTCTACATATATGGATTGAAAGACTAGGAAAAACTTTATTGATATTAAACTAATATTCGACTTCAGGGTGTTGTTGTAGCGTTAAGAACAGAATATCAACAGCAAAACAACTAAGATTTTAAAATAAGTCAGTATAAGAACATCGCTTATTTAAAGTAAGCAAATATTCATTTGGGAACGAGCCCAGTCGTGTTTCCCAGCGATTCGCTCGAAGCACTCTTTCGTAACTAATTTTACACTTGAGGCACCCCGTATATGATTTGTCTTCTTATTTGACTTATACCACAGCTTAGGTATCATACAGCCCTCCGCTTTGATCTATGGATTAAAATGTCGAGTCCACTTAAGCGAAAACAGTGCCGCATTAAGGAATATTAAAAAAAAAACTCGATTCTTCTACTAAAATTTTTAAATACAATCCATACAATCGATTCACTGATTTAATATACATTGATATCAATAACAATATGGTTTTAATAAATTAACAATCAACATGTCACACTGAAGGTCATAATTTCCCAGGTAAATGAACATATTAACAGTGATTGTTCACTGTATTTACTACAAAGCATTAAAGATTCAATTAACTTGAAACAGGAAAAGACCATTTATGTACGCATAATCCTGAATTTTGGTTATCACTTTAATAGTTATTGATGTATTAAGAGCGAAAAGTACTTGGAATCAAGATGTTCTTGCGTGCGGTGGTTCTAAAACTATCAGAACTTTTTAGTAAATCCAAAGCAAATAGAAGTACATTTTTACTGAATCGTACAAATTTGAAAGAAAAAAAATTGTAAGGATGTTGACCACTGGAAAGCGTTTTTACTTCAGGTCAGAAATCCATAAATTTGGAAGCAAACTTTTACCGTCTGCCCTCTTGCAAATCAGCGATAAAACTGCTATTTTTATTGATATTTTTAGAGTAGAATACATTATTACTCTGAAAGATAATTTCTTCACAAAACCTTGATGGCCATTCAGCCCATACAATAGTACGATACATGCTGTATTTATATATTCAAGTAAGGGAATTGTGAACATATTCAGCAGCCTGCGAGGATTTATCTTATATACCTGGACAAAGTTCCCTTGTTGCTGGAACTACAATTTGGTTTTTCAACATTGGAATGTTTGCAGGCCACATCATTGGCTTAGCATATGTATGATCTTCACGGGTGCGTTTGGTACTGGCTTCAAACGATGAAAATAGTGTCGGAAAAGCTTTTGCACATAGGCGCTCACACAGATGATTTGTAAACATTTTTTTTTCAAAGTGCTCTTGACACAGCCTTTGGCTTTTATAAAGGGTATCCAACTTTTCTAGGAGATCGTTCCTATTAGCTACTGTTGCCCAAAGTTTTGCCCTTTAAAGAATCAAAAGAACCTTTTCACAACTTAAAGTCAAATTTTTGAAAACCAAACATATAATAGATCAGCAACTCATTGAATCTTTTCCTTCCTGGGTTTCAGTCAAAGTGTGAAATAAAACATTTTTATATCTTTTATTTCATTTCAAGACAGCAAAGACCTAAAAGAATCTAATATTTCCCAAAAATGAGGTAAGTTTTTCAAATGCTCTCCCAAAAAGAAAGGTTTTTCTTCCTCACAAACTAA